TAGGAAGAACATTCATTTTTACAGCTGAAATTCTTCCCAACAAAGATAATTGCAATTTTTTCCACTCATTTAAATCCTTTTGTACCTTAACCCATAAAGCTTCATAATTATTCTTATACAATTTTGTGTTAGAAGCTGTAATATAAACCCCCAAGTATTTTACCTTTTTAACCATTTCAAAACCTGTACGTAAGGCTAAGACAGTTTGCCTCTTATAGTTTATAGATTACAATGTAGAAGTGGATAGTAGAGTTTTTAGTTTGGAAAGATTTTGTCTGTAGGTGTGAAACAATAAAGAACTCACTGGCAAAAATGACCATGTGTCATTCTTGATTTGGAGCCTAACATTTTCATGAAAAGCCAGTTTGGTCTCACGATTAAGGCACCAGGCTAGACGGCAGCAGACTGGCCATGAAAGCCAGCTAGGTGATTTTGGCTCAGTCACTCTCTTTCAGCTCTACCCACCTCACAGGATTGCTGTGGGGAAAACAGCAATAGCACTTAGACTTATATACCTCTTTCCAGTGCCTTAGAGCCCTCTCTAAGTGGTTTACTGAGTCAGCATATTGCCCCCAACAATCTGGGTCCTCATTTTACTGTCCTCGGAAGGATGAAAGTCTGAGTCAACCTTGAGCTGGTCAGGATTGAAGTAGCCTGCAATACTGCATTTTAACCATTGCGCCAAAACCAAAATAGGTGGAGGAAGGTGTGTTGCATACGTGTGCTGTCTTGAGTTATTTGTAAAAATAATAAGGGTGGGATGCAAATAAATAAATAACAATTTCAAGACAGTTTACAGTACTAATATTGTATGAAGAGATACACCAGGATCTGTGTCAAGTGAAGTTAAGGTTTGAGTCAATAATGTATGTGGTTGCACAGATCTGCTCTGCCAGAGGAATGATTGTAGTCTGTTTAATTATGCAGGAATTCATGAAGGATGCAAGAAAATAAATAAAGCATGAAACAGAGAAGGTCATAATGCATAATACTCATTTTATTGAAGCAATTTTTGAAGATTTTAAAAAGCAAACTCGTTCCTTCTTCCTACCCAGAAATCTTTTAAAAATCATCCTTTGTGTGCAAAGAAATCAGTTCATCTCAACATGTGAGGTACAAGCATAGAATCAAGTTGTTAAATGTTTGTTTTATAAGAAATAGCATCATTTTCATCACAGGAGAAGGAAGAGAAATGCAGGATCATCAATCTCAGAGGTTGCAGCCCTGAGTCCACTTTGATAGATCTCTTCCTTGGCAGTGTTTTTGCCAGCCCCTCCTAGAAGTAAGAATAAGAATATTACTTTTTTTTTTTTTACACCACAAGCACGATAGTTTCTTTGATGATATAATTCTGCTTCAACAGATTCAGGAAGTTTCAAGGTGAGCTAGTTTTTCCAATAAATCTCCTTTCCCCCAAGTTAAAATGAAAAGAAAATAATAGTTTTAACTAAAATAATCCCAATTTTCTATTTCTCATAATAAAGCCTACATGCCAGTGAGGCCCAATAGATACATTGGACTCACACATAAACTTGCCAATCCATGTTAGCCAGGGCTGAAGAGACTTAAAGTCCCAAGTATTGGGTGAGCACCAGAGGATCACAAAATCTTGCCCAAAATCTTAGTGTCTCAGAAGGACACACAACAGAGTAACTTTTAGATAACTCGAATTGCTTTATGATTTGCTTTTAAATGCTGATTGCTGGCTTAAAAGTTTTCCATTTAATGATCTGCTGCTGCAGCCCCTTTTCCTATTCATCCTATAAGTGGAGGCTTCAGAAACGATCTTCCTTGCTTGTCCCACTACTAGCTTCTTTACAGATCCAGTTCTCTGATCCCTTGGAGCTCATTCATGGGATCAGAATCCTGGTGTTTTAAATGGCCATTTGCCAAATTCTTTTCCTGCCTGTCCCAACTGGGTGCTAAATCCCAATGTTGAACCTGTTTAAAAAGATCTATAAGTAGCCAACATGCACAAAACTGGATAATGAATGTCAAATTACTGGGAAGAAATTATCCAGCTATAATAGGCATCAACATTCACCCTGCTAAGCTATGTGCCAATATGCTTTTAATCTACTTTTAAACCGGGATTTAAAAGACTGTCAAACCCAAATTTTAAAAACTGTTAAACCCATATTCTAAGGCAACCGCATATATAGCAATAAAAATACAACTTGCCATATCCAGAAACTGTATTTTACCACTAATGTTAATGTTGTACAATAGTCTAAAGAAAGGCAATTAATTTTCATGACTACAAGTTCAGTTGTTATTCAATGCTACAAATAGAAAGATGTTACTGAGAGATTGACTCACCAGGCATTCATCTTTTGTTTATCATGCACAACTTTCTTAGCACAAGCAATATCATCTGCGATGTCATCATTTAAGAAATTTGATGAGAGAAGCAAATTAGTATATGTCCCACCCCAGATGTTTCAAAGTTATTTGTAAATATTTGCATAAAATTATTATATAGAGCAGAAAAACAACAAGTAGGAGAGATTGTGAGATTGTTGAGGCATGTGGGACAAGGAGACCTTTGCCAATATGGGTCTGGTGCTCATCACACTGGGGTGGGTGGTGTGGTGGCACAAAGTCAGACATATCTTTGTGGGGGAAGGTAGACAAGTTGTGAGAAGCTGAGAAATGGAGTACTAAGTGGGGGATCAGATTGAGGAAATATAACAAGCCAAGGCAAACATGGTGGCTATGTACTAGGTATCACAATGGCCCAAGTAGGAACTTGAAACAATTTTGAATACAGGGTTATTAAATGTGAATCTTCATGAAGTGGTGGGTACAATAGGACAATTACAGAGACCAATAAAGGAGAAGAAGGATTAGAATTTCCCTACAAAGTTTTCATATAAGTTACTTGGGACATTTCACTTGGCCTTGGTAGTAGATCAGGTCAGGAAACAAATGCTACAAGGATTATGGGAATCTATACTACTTCATTGTCATAGAACACAATAATAAGAACAGAATTTTGAAAACTTGTCAAAACTTGTATCTCCCACTTCTTACATCAAACAGAATCAAGGTAAACAAAAAAAATTATTTCTCTTTTAGAAGCTTCGTCCTTTCCCATGGTTGAGTTGTCATTACTTTCTCATCAACTTAATATACTCCTAACAAGTCCTGCATTCCTTTATCAAAGTTATCTCTCTTCTACATTACATGGCTTACCACTGCAAGGCTTCCTACAGCCATTATTTGTACGGCCCTCGTTATTGTTGCACCAATAGTGGCTGTTTATCTGGAATATCCCATAGTCACGACTGCCGTTGTCATTTATATTCACAGCATAGGTTTTAAAGCCACTCTCATGATAAGCCATACAGATCCCTGGAAGAAAGCAAATGGGGAAAGCGCTACAAAAGGCCTGTGCTGTAAATGAAAAGGCTGTCATGGTTTCTCACACAGAACATTTAAACCAGAATATTTAACTATTTTCCCATTCTTTCCCCAACCAAGGAAGGACCCAAAAAGTCCAATACGTTTTGGAAACCTTCAGGAGAATTTGGATTAAGTCTGATTGTTGTCTCCCAAGATATTCCTGGGGTTGTTAATGGCACATAAAGCCCCATCTCCTTTTTTCTCTCTTCCTAATCTAGGCCTTGCACTGCTGCACTTTTGGAAAATATTCTGGGATTGCTCCTTTAATTGTATCTTGAATTGAAATGATTTGCGGGGATCTGAAGGATCTTACCTTTGAGAGGATGCTTATAGTGGCAGGGATAACCCCCTATTCTTAAGCAAATAAATAAAATATTAGCTATGCCAGTTGTTGTTAAAAGACAACACAGAGATCACAAAGTAATCTAAACAAACCCCAGTTCTGCTCTTATCCAAAACAGGCAACAACTAGAGAACATTCACCCTCTTTAAAATTAGGATGTTAATGCTGGATGAAGCATGAAATCTCCTCAGTCATTTGGGATGGGAAGAAAGGGTATCTTCTCATTCTAAGAACACTGAACAGAGCTTTTTAGTCATTGGGGTTTTTTTTTCCTGCAAAGGAATTGCCCCATTTTGCATCCCTCTTACAAACCGGGATTTTGCTAAGGTGGAGAAAAAGAGAGAGTAAACTCACAATTGCCCAAGCTGTAGCCATGATATCCATCCATGAGACTTCGTTTCAGAAGTCTAGCGAATTCACATCTGGAGTATTGTTTGGCTTCAATGACTGCAATGAAGAGGAAGAGGAGGTTGAGCACTAATGCCTTCGTTGCTGCTGCTCCTTGGAGGACAATGTCTGACTTCTTCAGGACAGCTACAGTATTTTATAGTCACAGAAATTGGCACATCTGGAGACATTGTAAACAAAGTATGTAGCAATAATAATTCCCAAACATGAAGTAATTATGCACTGACCAGCAGAGAGTGCTGAGGGCAATAGCCAAAAAGAAAGAAAAAAGAGTTCACTGTCATTTTAAATTTTATAAGAAGTCAAACATAACTAGAATGGAGGAGAAGAGCATTTTTATCCCCCTGAGAGATCCTGGGTCAAGGGAAGCTGCATGAGGAGCAGTGGTGGGATTCAAATATGTGAAAAACTGGTTCTACATGTGAATGCCATTTCCGGAAGTCCATTCTGAGCCTGGGCAACAACAAATTAGCTACTGGTTCTGCCGAAGTGTTGACAACTGGCTGAATCCCACCACTGATGAGGAGTAACAAAACTAAAAGTGGCAGCTGCAACTGTGTGATTGAAGCCTCAACCATTTTATGCCCTTACACAAGCAAGATGGAAGAATAAGCTTGGAACTGAACTCTGGGAGTTCTTTCAGTTTGCTGAATTTATACAGTCTGAATCAATATAAACACTGAAGACACTTCTCCTAAATAACTGCACTACACTGGCCAGTGAGTTTTTTTAATAAATTCAAATGGATGGATTAGGTAAGAATTAGAATGGTGGGTATGAATTAGAGAAGGAATTGGAATGGAGAAATTATTAGGAATTAGAAGTATTCCTTCCTTCTCCCTTTCTACCTGCTAACAAACCTTGGCAAACCTTTTTGATTTTTCTGCCATGAATTCTCTAGTGGGTTTCAGGCACGACTTTTGGAGGAAGGATAAGTTGATAGAAGCAAAACTTCCAGGCCTTTCAAATAAATAAAGAACGTGCAATATTACTGTGATGGTTTATAAGTCTTTTGTTATCTTTCAGGGTATGAAATAGCATGAAGCAAATAGGTAACTTTCTAAGACAGAAGGTTATCTTATATGTTGTTGCTCTTTAACTAGTGTACAAACTTAATCCATTTGAAGACCCAGAGAAATTCAGCAGAAATTCTTGCTTCT